TTTACAAACAGTGTCTAGTACATAGAGGCTGCATTAAGTCTTAACTACTGTACTAGGCAATACTATATACAAAAAGTAAATGTTCTGAATGACAAAAAAACCTAAAGGATGATAGCAAAATGTAGTGGTGATTAAACAAGCACATACTCTGGACTAGGCTGCCTAGGTTCTGATCCCAACTGTCACAGCATGAACCCAGGTCATCTTAACCTCCTTGTGCCTCAGTTTTTGAATTTCAAGATGGAGACAACTGTACCTGCTTCCTAGGTTTGTTATAAGATTAAAGAATACATGCGTTTCAAACAGTTCTGACACACTGCAAACGCTGAGAACATGAGATATTGTTTTAGGCTTGGTTCACATGAGATTTCTATTCAAATGTCCCCAAAAACACATATACTGTAGTAGACACTGTTTAACAGGAGTGGTAAAACTGTCTATGGCCCTTAGTACTAATCAACTTGGAGTGCCACTTTTAACTCCTGATGTTTAATAGCCCTATTTAAGACCATATTACAGCTTGTTCAAATACAGAATACAGGAAAAAAAAAAAGTTGATTGGTCTAATAGCCAAAAACTTACGCTAAGAACATAAGATGAAGTATAACTTCAAAGGCTCGATCAAATGGACTAAAGGTTAAAAGTATTCCAATAATCATTTCAATAGAATGCTAATGAGGAATACAAATATGTCTTAATATTTGAAATGTGGGACCTTCAGACAAGAATAAATTCAAAATAGGTACATAACACATAGATACTATACATCAATGGCTACTTGACCCCGTATTTCTAGAAGAGGTGCTTAAACTGAAGAGCATTCCCCTTCAGAGCTGTCCACTCACTAAAATTGTTTGGATGTGGAATATCTGAAGGTTGCCTCATGTGATTCTAACACTAACAGCTGAAAAACCAAACCACACACACACATGTCAAAAGTTTATGTACGTTGAATCAATAATGTTCACATAAACACTGGTTTTTCCAATTTGCCAAGTTATCACATTGTGTCTACATTACATAAATCTTCAAAGTATTTACAACGAGAAAATCTGGTATTAACCACGAGTACTAAACTAGAAGTCAAAGTCCTTAAACAAAAATGGTTAAGAATTATAAATCGTGATATTAAAACAGCAGTAGCAACTGTGAGCATCACGTACCAAGGGCCTGTTCAAATCTGCACATTAATCCATTTAAACCTCAAAACAAATTTAGGAACTTAAAATTGTTTTGCTCACTGCTGCCACTCCAATGCCTAGAACAGTGCCTGGTACATATTAGGCACAGAGCCATTTATTGTTCATACTGTAACAGATACCCTTCTTATAGAGGCACATAAACTTGCCCAGAGCTAGAATTCTAACTGGAGCATTTCTACTCCAATGTTCACACTCTTAATCATTGTTATATTGCCTCTCTAAAGCTCTTAAATCATTTAAGTGGTGTCACAGCAGCTGGGTATGACCTGTAAAAGAAAAAAAATCAGTGAGACCTTCCTTTACCTGTTCTGTTCCACATGTACAAAAAGCTATGATCTGGAATTATTCCAGATCTTACTGGCCTAAACTTATTCTGATAGAAAAGACTTTCATTTGTACTGAATGTTATGTTCTTTTTGTTAACTACTTTATTACATACAACTATGCTTCTCCAGTATGTTGCTGGCCTTTAAAGTGGTCACGGAAAGAGGTTATTATTTCAAAATAACCTCTTTTATTTTGACCCTTAACTCCTAAAAAGCTTCTTCCTCTTTTCCTTCATTTCACAAAGATTTAAATTTCCATTTCGCGTAACCCAAAAAAGATGATGCAATGAAGGTCTAAAACAAAATCCAAGATTTCTTACCAATATTAGGAGAAGATTTAAACCTTCCTCTTTCACAGAACACCGATCTTGCCAAATAAACTTCAGTCATAATTAAATAAATGCAAATGTAGTAGTATCAAGTCTATTTTAGTAAAGGCAAGTTCTTGCCATTCCTCTCACTGAACTCTTTTTTTCGAAAGAGTAATCTATTAAAATCAAAGTTTCTAACCCTCACTGCAGCCCCCGCCCCATTTTTCTAGTAAGGCTGAATTTATTCCATGACATTTTTTTCAAGTTAGCTGTAAATACTCCACCCTCCTCGATTGTGCAACAACCTAACACACCACACAAACACAAATCACAAAAAAGGAAAATACAGTCAGTGTTTGAATTTAGGTAAGTTTTGAGTAGAGGGTCTCACAGCAGTGCGCAACCTGATATAAAAGTTAACATTTAACAAAACATATTATTTCACATTATTATGAAAGGAGATGCCGGAAAGAGCCTGAATCAGTTAAAGCAGCCGCCATCTTAAAATGCGGGATAGAAGTTAGAGCAAGAAAATGAGACGAAACCACCGGAGGTGGAGGTTCCGCTCACTCCCAGAGCTCTGAAAAATCCTAGTTTTTTTCCAACTTAAATCGACAATATACTATTCAAACCACATTTCAAGTAACGAAAGAATCTTCCTCAAGGGTGTTATTAATATGGGATGAGGAAAAATAGGTACATGTAGCTTTCCCTTATTGCCATCGCACCTCTTATCTACCCTCCCCCCCACCCCCCCGCCAGCCAAAAGGAAAAGGGAGCTTCCAGAAGGCTTTTACATCAGTTCCCGGTGTGCCTCGGATAAATAGCTTCGGGTGAAAAGCTGCAACTACTTTTACAGGAAGTGGCAACACTGTGTCATTCTATCTCCTCCCAAACACACTTACTCTGTGTACCCTGCCCAGAGTCGACGAAGAGTTTCTCCACTAAACTCATTCACTATCCTTCAATAGACAAGAGACTTCCACCAGACCCTCAGTCAAGTTCGCGACTCGCCAAATTTTTCGTCGGGGTTTTCTTTCTTTCCCGTAGAAAGCCTACAGAACCTTGATCTCATAAAGTTAAGTTTGGGAGCTCCCAAGAATAGGAAGCTGCATGACATCTGCTGGAGCGGCTCTCCCTAATTCGGACCCCAAAAGAACTCTTAAGCAGCAAAAAAAATAGTAACAATCATATAAATAAAGACGCTTTAAGTCACTCTCCGCCACCCCTAATCTGCACCGATTCCAATGAAGCACACGCGGGATAACACTTCACTTGCCACAAGTGTTCTCCGTTCCCTAGCTTTGAACTTCATTTCAAGAAGTATATCCGCGTTCTCCATCCCCCACCATGGAAGAAGTGATCCAAGAGGTATTTTCAGAATTATGCTTCTTTCCCACCCCCACGCTTTCCTCTGGGCCCGAGCCTTTCTTTTCTCCCACGACCCCATTTCCTTCAGTTCCCGCGGGTTACCTTATTAATCCGTTTCAGCGCCATAGTGTGTGCTTGTCGTCTGGCTCCTCACTCTCTCGGTGTGTGCTCAAAGGTCCGGCCAAAACTCTTGATTATCCCGGCGGCGGGGCAGGATTGTCTCGTCTCACACCGGCTCTGCCAGACACAGGCGCCTTTTGCAAAAACGGAGCAGATCAACACTCGCACAGGCCTCGGAGAGCCCCTGATGAATCCAGGTCCCTTAAGACGGACGCGATCCGGGGTGGGTGGGGTGGCAAAGCCACCAAAAGCCTCTATGCCGTGCTTTCTGCCCGAAGTGGGGGCGAGGGTGACGGGAAGAGCGGAGGGGGTGGCTACAAGTTTAACTTCCCGGCCTCTCGAAAGGAAGAGACCCGGGTGGGAGAGGAAGAGGCGTCGGAGAAAGGGGTGGGTGCGGGGCAGGGTCCGGAGCCCAGGAGAGGAGGAGCTGGGGCCTAGTCGGCGCTATACCGGCGTCACTACGGCAAAGAAAGGCAAGGGGGAGGGGGAAGCAACAGACTCAGGACGGACGCCGGACTGCTTTCGGTTTCTGCCCAAAGGTGCGGCCAGGGAGGGGAAGGAAATAAAGGAAGAGAGGTTTGATGTATGTTGGTGTCCTCGCAGCGAGCTATTCTGTGTCGTCCCTGACGCCACCGTACACTCCGCCTTCCAGCGCGCTCCCGCGCGCGCCCGCCCAGCTACCTCCACCACGCGCCCGTGCTATCCCTGAGGCTCCGGCTTGGGCGCGTGAACGCGCCCATTCCCCCTCCTCCTCCAGCGGGAGAGGCCCCGGCTTCTCCAGCCTTCCCACCCTACCCCGCCGCACCCAATAGGCTGGCCGTTCAAGCCGCCCAGGGCCCGCACTGCCCCTCTTACCCGGCCGGCCAGTGGGCCGGCCTCCCTTCCCTTCCCTAGCCGTCCACACCCACGCGTACAGAGGGGCCGGGGCCTCCCTCAAGCTGCGGCCTCGGCCTCCTCCCCGCGCAGCAGCTGGTGCCTCCCCGGCCCTACGGGGCTCACGCGCACGACACAGCCACAAGATGTCCGCTCTGACGGAACTACTGCCAGCTGCCACGCTCCGCCCCTCCCCCTTCTCCTGCCTCTTCACCGCCGCGGATCAGTCCGCCAACGCCGCCGTCGCGAGCAGAGGACCGATGTGAGGCCGAAGCCAGACGGCTTGCTTCCCACGTCCGGGGCCGAGTGAATACGTGCCAATCCCTTTTCCCTTGTCCTTCTCGGAACAGCACCTTCTTACTGAACAGATCGGAGATTGGACTAGGAGGGCGGGGGAGGGAGGCGGATCATGGGCTGGGGGGAGGGTAGACGAGTGGCGGAAACCCTTAGGCTCAGAGAAGCATCGAGAACCGGAAGGAGACCATGGGAGGAAGGTAAAGCAAGCAGCCGCTGCGCGACCCAGCCCCACGCCCCTCCCCACAGCGTTTCCCAGTTTCCTCACTTGGTATTGAGGCGACGACTCTCGCGAGAACTTCGTAGCTGGCTAACCGAAGCGGTAGCTCTGCAATGACTTAAGAGCAGTTTTGGGCGCTCTTCCTCTCGGGGTCCCGCCCTCAAAATCCACAAATTCTCGCGAGACGCAGTGAGGCACCGGCTCGAACTGGGGCGGGCTACTGCCAGGAAAGCACCGCCCCTGAATGTTTAAGCCGGTGGTTGGAAGAGGAAATGGAATTCCCCGGACTGGTAAGAGCGCGCGCCGACACAGCCCTCTCTCATGCGCCCAATCAGGAGTATGCGGTGGGAGGTGTCATGGATTAATTACCAGATACCTTTAGTCGATGTTGAGCCGGGATTTTGAGATTTCCGGTGGAGCAGGTGAGCAGTATTTATTTGCCTGCCCTCCTGGGCTTGTTATGCTGTGGGAGGAGGCTCCTCTCAAGATGGGAACAGTAGTTTTAAATAGACTCAGGTTGGCGGCTCATCAGCGCTCCCACGTGCTGAAGTCTAGTGCATGTCTGACCCTAAAGGAGCAACACTGAGAAGAGCAGGCCCATAGGCCAGTTCCCAGAGTTAGAGCAGCCCGAGTCAAGCTCAACTGAGTCGATGGGGCTAGGACAGAGAGGGTTAGGGGCAGGGTGGTGGTCACGCGTCTCCGTAATCAGTCGCTGCCATCCGCCAACTGTAGAAGTGGAAACAAGCTTAACTTCTCAATACCTTTAACTTCTGTTGCTATGTTTCATTTACTGAGCCAGAAAGTAGCTAGACTAATTAAGAAATTAGGTAGAGTTTAGAGTCAGAAAAACCATACGTACGGTACTTCCTGAAAGATCCAAGTTGGGAAGTGGAGTTTACATAAATGGGATTGGCCTGTTTTAGTCAAGGGTTTAAAGTACTGAGAGGGCAGTTACGCTCTGTAGTGTATTCTTTAGGTAAAAGAAAGATCTTAATTTTGGGTGGGTAACCACTGAGCCGCTTAAGGTTTTCTAACATTACTTAATGACCCCAGTTACTGAAGTGGAGATCTTCAATTACATGGAAAAAATAAACTTGTTTTAACAATACATTTAATTTGAAAACTTGGAGGAAGTTTTACCTAATAAAAACAGATCAACAATGATGAATATAAGTGGTCTAATGTATACTGTTCAAGTGACCATGTAGTGTCACTAGAGCAATTAGGGAAGCAGTGCTTCTCAAACTAGTGTCTATAGGAACCACCTGGGGTTTTGTTGAAAATGCGACTTTTATTTGGTAGGGCAGAGGCTGAAGCCTGAGATCCTACATTTCTAACTAACTCCCAGGTGATAGACATTTTGCTAGTCTGAACCACTCGGTGAGTAGCAAAGCACTGAAGTTCTCACCTCATGGCCTAACTGTTCCTTAGGCTCACCTCGTAAACACCTCTGGCCCCTCCCTCCTCCTTGAATAATCTGTGTTCTTTCTCCTAGCTAGCCAAATATAGTAGAAGCACAGAAGATTGGGCATGAAGGTGGAGGGAGGAACCCGGGTTTGTAATTGCTTCCCATTTGTTTGCTCTTGGCCTGTTTAGTTATCTTGACTCCATTTCTTCACTGCTAAAGTAAGTAATAATAACTTCTTTCTCATAGGGTGATTGTGTAGTTTAAGTGTCATAATGTATGTGAAAGGACACTGTAGACCCTACAATGCTCTATAAATGTAAGTTACTAAAGTAACCAGTCAGACATTAACTGGCCATAGTGTGAAACAAATGTATAGTAATAGTGGCCAGGCACTGTGGCTCATGCCTGTAATCCCAGCACTTTGGGAGGCCCAGGCAGGTGGATCATTTGAGGTCAGGAGTCTGAGACCAGCCTGGCCAACTTAGGGAAACCCCATCTGTACTAAAAATACAAAAATTAGCTGGCCGTGGTCGCCGGCCCCTGTAATCCCAGCTGTTTCGGAGTCTGCGAGGTGGAGGTTGTGGTGAGCCAAGATCAGACCACTGAACCCGAGTCTGGGCGACAGAGTGAGACCCTGTCCACCCCCCCCAAAAAAATCCTAATATATATGGAGTTCTAGATTATCCATGCTTATAAAGGCAAGTGATTATGTAATCACAAATTCATTTGTATTAGGCACTTAATTCCTTAGTTGATTAGGCTTTCTGCTTATACTTGTTTGTATTTGTATTAGTGGACTTACATTTCTCCTCATATTTTGCCACGGTTAAAATCAAAAGGCACATAGCCTAGAGGCATTTTGATGCCTTTGGATAAAGCAGGCCAAGCGTAAGTCAAATTTTTAAACATTATTCATATACCCATTGTTACAGAGAGCCCACTGTACAGTTGCAAATAAAGTTAAAACATACTCATTTTACTTGAATTACAATGGTAGAAATGTTCTCATTTGAAACAAGAAAGGAAAATAATCATGTTTTTTATATTGCAATTGGAGATATGCTAAAAAGAAAAAAGATTCTGGCTGTAAATACTGAGAGAAAAATTTACATTTAGAAATTAATAAATGTACAAAAATGTTGACAATATGATTAAAAGTAATCCCTTAATAAATATTATGTTGAAGTCCTGAAAAGGATAAAAAAACAATTAGGCTGGGCTGGTGTAATCCTAGCACTTTGGGAGGCCAACATGGGAGGATCACTTGAGCCCAGGTGTTTGAGACCAGCCTGGACAGCACAGGATGACCCCATCTCTACAAAAATAAAAAATATTAGCGGAGCATGGTGGTACACACCTATGTTCTCAGGTACTTGGGAGGCTGAGGTGGGAGGATTGCCTGAGCCTGGGAGGTTGAGGCTGCAGTGAGCTGTGATTGTGACATTACACTCAAGCCTGGATGACCGAGCAAGACCCTGTCTTGGAGAAAATTACTAGTAAATGGGCATTTAATCTACTAATGTGAATAATGGTGGTTTGACAGGGTCTTAATATTATGTGAATTCATCAGTGAGGCCACATTATTATAATAACTTGAGTAAAGGGTTACTTCGAATGTACTGATGAATAAACATAATTAACATAGATTATATATATATATGTATACTTATGTTAATATTGTATCTATGTTTTTGTATATCTTTGTAACTTTGTTACAGGATATTATAACTTTCCAAAGACACTGGCTCTAGTACAGTGTATACCATTTTATTAATTAAATTGTAAATGTTATGGTCCAGTTTCTATATTCAGAATGCTCATTTACATATTCTGCCTGGAACAAGTACTTTGGAGCCCATGTCAACCAAATGTTACTTTACATTGCTTGCACAAAAAGTCAAATTAATTTCTATACTTATCAATTTAGAATCTCGTGAAGTCAAATTAATATGGTTTAAGAAACTGTACTTTATTTCATGCTAAAAACATCATTTTGGCCTTAAATTAATAAGGCTTTTGGCATGTAATGAACCATGCACAAATCTTTGAGATAAAAATAGGATATTTTTCTACACACAAACTTAACACACAAATGTTCAGAGTAGGGCTATTCATAAGAGCTAAAAAGTAGAAACAACTCAAATGTCAATCAGCTGATGAATGAATAAAGAAGATGTGCTATATTTGTATAGTGGAATACTCTTATTATAATAAGAAGGAACAAATTACTAATACATGTTACAAAATGTATCTTGAAGCCTTAAAACATTGTCAAGTGAAAGAAGCCAGATGCAAAAGGCCACATATTGTTTGATTCCATCTATATGAAATGACCAGAACAGTGCATTCTTTCAAAAAGCTTGTTTACTTACAAACACAGGTTAAAAAAACT